TGATGAATAATTTTCATCCACAAGATCCTCTGTTGGATACTTTGGGGACATGATGGCTGGTGGGAGGTTGTATCAGATGCTGCCCTCGCCTGTGTCCGAAGATGACAGTGATTCTTCAAGTCTTTGCTCTTGTTCCAGCCCTGATTCCCAGGTTCTCAGCTCTAGCTATGGAAGCACATCTAGTGCTGAAAGTCAAGATAGTATTTTAGACTATTTACTGTCCCAGGCTTCCTTAGGGAACACCCCTGCCGCTTGGTGGGACAAACGGAGGCTTCAACCAGTAGTGAAAGAGGAGTACTTCAGATTGCCTGAGTTTGCAGTGGAGATGGAAGATTCTGGACCATTTCAGCCCACGCTTGAGGAGATTGAGGAGTTTCTGGAGGAAAACATGGAGTTGGATCTTAAGGAAGGACCTAAAAGTGAGACCAAGGACTTGAGAGCTTGCAATCCAGTTGCCGTTGCTTCAATTCAGCAAAAAGACCATCTGGTGCCTAATATTAACTTGAAAGAAAGTGAAAATGAACAATCAAGTAGCTCAACGGAAGGTAGCGATGTTTCAAATGGAGCACTATCCTTGGAAGGAGGGATACCTGTCATGCTCCAAATTCAGCCTGTACAGATCAAACAAGAGTCAAATACAAGCCCTAGTTCACAAGGACCAGCACAAGAGAATATTAAAATTGCACAGCTCCTAGTCAACATTCAAGGACAGACATTTGCACTTGTGCCGCAGATAGTTCAGTCATCCAATTTGAACTTGTCCTCTAAATTTGTCCGCATCGCTCCAGTCCCTATTGCTGCGAAGCCTATTGGGCCAGGAGGCATGATTCAGGGTCAAACAGGGATCATCGTGGGTCAGAAATTTCAAAAGAACCCCGCAGCAGAACTCATTAAAATGCACAAATGTTCTTTTCCTGGCTGTACCAAGATGTACACAAAAAGCAGCCATTTGAAAGCACACCTGAGGAGACACACAGGAGAAAAACCTTTTGCATGCACGTGGCCTGGTTGTGGATGGAGGTCAGTACTGCGATGCATTTGTACTCTGTACACTTGACATAATATACCAGCCAAGCAGGTCTGAGCCAAGTTAATTTATAAACAGCTTTGCTGTTCTCTGAAACCTGGTTGGTTGGCTTTAAAATTAAAATCACTTCTCTTAATGTTAGATAATCCAGGGGCTTTGGTGCATTGAATAGCATAGCATTACCTCTTGACATTCTGTACAAAAGTCTAAAAAAATTACCCCAGTGACTCACATTTCATTTCAGAATGGCCAGATGAGACTTGCTACTGCATTGCTTTGTATCTTATTTGGCCCAATTGCAATATACCATCTCCACATGTTCTAGTGATACAAACTAGGACACCATGCAAATTGGGTCATTGGATCACAGCCACTCCATTGCTAATAATATGTGATTGTATGTATTTGTAGATTCAATTCCATGGAGGTCATGTACAGTCAGTGAAGGGCTATGAACAACATATACGCTTAATAAGACCACAATAAAATATGAAAACATCACATGCTATTTTGTAATTTTCAAAATTAAAAAAGAAAACCCATCTTGAGAAAGCTCTCTCAGTATAGGGTATGCTACTCAGATTGAATCTGTGTTTATGTTCTAGCGTAGAAATGTCTACCAGTGCCCATCAAGCTGTGCTCCTGAGAGTTGTACTTTTCAAAAGCAATCTGTTAAAACAATTAGAACGGCTGGCTAAAATTTTCCGACAAAACATTTCTTCAGTGGAAAATTGAGTTTTTGAATAAGTAAAAATGTATACTAAATATATCTGCTTTCCTCAAAATGTTTGATTATTTGTTGGAGAACTGGGAACTGAAAAATGTTTCTTTTGTAATTAAGAAGTTGAAATGTCCCATGGAAATCCCTTCTCTTCCATTTTCCAATTCACTCTGAAGCCCAGCCAGTTTCTTAACACTAGTACGTGAGGTATGTGACCGCTAGAGATGGATGAATTTGTTTGAGAGGAAAAGGTCACAAGTAGTCTGAAACTTGTCCCTTTCATCAAACTTATCATGCTGAGGTTTCCCTATTGCCACTAGAGCTGAGTGGATCATTTGTAGCTAATACAGGTTGAACCTCTCTAGTCCAGCACGCTTGGGACCTAACTGGTGCCGAATCAGAGAATTTGCTAGACTATGGGAGGTCAGTATCGTCTAGCAGCATTGCCAGCACTTCCACTGCTTACTGGGCTCATAGAATTAAAGGTAAATTAGAGCTAAGTAACAGCATAGAACACTGAGAGCCAGGACTGGTGGTTGTAAACAAACTTTTATGGGACCATGGGAAACTTAGTCACACCATGATAAGTGGATATCCAGCTAATTAAACTCAGGCTGGACCACAAATGTTGCTGGAAAGGAGAGTGTTGGTCTAGAGAGGTTCAACCTATACTTCCTGTGATCAAAAGCTTCGGAGGGGTTAGTCTGTAACTAGAAAAACTTAAAAAATAATAAATAGTCTAGCAGCACCTTAAAGACTAACAAACATGTAGATGGTATCATGAGCTTTAATCTGAAAAAGTGGGTTGTACCCACGAAAGCTCATAATACCATCTACATGTTTTGTTAGTCTTTAAGGTGCTGCAAGACTATTCGTTGTTTTTTAAGTTTTTCCTGGGATGTTTTTCCTCACTCTTCTAATTCATGGAGGTTGGATGCTTGAGCAGATTGCATTTTTCCTTAATGTATTTGCTACCAATGAAATTTTTGACAAGCTTTGGTTATTTCCAGCCTTGCGATTCAGAGTGAACTGAAATGTGTTGCTTAATTGTGATTGGTCACACAAATCATATGGCATTTTTCCATGCTTTCATTGGATGAACATGCTCTCTATGTGGCTTTTAGTATTAATGCTTGCAAGGTACAAATTTAAGATTGGTTGTCCTCTAGCATCTGTGTGAGCAAGCTTGTTGCTTGCTTTCCATGAGCCACGATGCCGGTGAAACTAGATTGTCCACATTTTTGTGGGAAGGGAACAAAACAACAGTTGAAACGTGACCATAGTTTAATTCTTTTAAAAATCTGAATGAATATACGTGGGAAATTTATTTGCAATACTCAGTTAACCACCAGTGGCAGTGGTCCTGATACAGGCATATTTGAGGTCAAAAGTTGACTTCCCAGAGCCCTGATTCTGCCTCCATTTCAGCTCTGTTGATTTCAGCACTGTAGGACCAGCCCTCAGGAGTCTGTTAGTTGTTGTTTTTTGTGGGTGGTCTCCTGTGCATATATCTTATAAGAACACTAGTATTTTCCAGAATGTTAGTCAAAAGTGAATGTTAAGGAAAAGATATGCAGCTATATGAGCCTATTATTCCTTGGGATGCCTCTTATTGAGTGACACCAAGGGTGAGTTTAGCTTCTGTGCATCCACAACCTTACAAGGGCTAAAATCTAGTGTGAATGGTGCATATCAAAAATGCCAACAGGGCAAGGCGGGGGAAGGGGGCATGAAAAGTACTGGTCCAGATGGTGGCTGCATCTGGAACCTGTAATTTAGAGAGCCAAATGCTGGAACCCTTGGACAGCCACAACTCTTTATGGGCACAAGCCAGTAGAGGCTAGGGATTAAATCACTTCCGTACAAAGAAGGCTTGTTTCTGGCAACTGGATATTTTTCCAGACTCTTCATTGTGATTGCAGCTTTATGTTTAGAATAACTTAGAGCATAAACCTGAACCCCTGGTCCAAATGCCCCGTGACTTTGGATGTATTCTGATTGGGGGTGTAAAAATCCATTTAATCAATTAACTGGCTAACCATTGTGTTTAACTGGTTAATCTGTTTAACGGGGGTGGACAGTGGACTGCTCCAGCTCTGCCAGGCTGCTGGTTAACTGTAACCAGTAAGCATCAGCCAGTAAGGATGATGTTTACCAGTTAACGGTTAACCATTCATATCCCTCATTCTGATCCCAGTTTGAAATTTTTCAGGTAGGGCCCATCACTAACATAGACCAAAGAAGGGGCAGACTTTCAAAGAGGCTGTTTCTATCACAAATCTTTTAGAAGAAGCTTGAGATTCCAGCATTCCCATGTGTTCTTTTCAGACATCAAAGTCAGACCTGCAGTGATATACCATAGTCAGAGCAAAGTCCCCTTTCATCAGTAAAGCATGTTTACCTTTTCCAGAAATTCAAGGAGAGCTGTGAGCTCACATGACTAAGTCAAGTACATCTGGAATCTGTTCTGATCTTTATATCATCCAAGTTGAATTTATGCACTGACATGCTGCTGATTTCCCAATTATTTTCCTTTTGTGTGTGTGTGTGTGTGTGTGTGTGTGTATTTTTCAGCAAAACAAACTTAAAATCTGAGTTCATGGAATTTAGAAAAAGGTTTATTGGTGTAATTTGAGTCATAGAATTTAGCTGGGAAAGAAATTCCCAATCAACCCTATATAATGCTGCTGTGTAGCAAAGCAAAGTGATAAAGTGATAGGCCAGGTTAAACTTTTACAAGCTGCCTACAGCATGGGATTTCCAAGTTCCTTTCTGAATACTGACCACTACCAACTTTTGCCTCTCCATCAAGAAAGCAGAGCTGCTCTTTTCAAACTTACACAATATATAAACAGTGGCATACAGAAACTGCCAGTGACCCATTTAGTCCAGTGTCCTGTTGTACTGATCAGGGCATTGATCCATGTCATAGCAGGATACACGTTAGCTTCCTCTAGGTTGGTTGCTAATGCCTGCCACTTCTGAGAAAGGCAAAACCACAAAATTCACAACCGAACGTCAGTGTAGGAAACTGGTAAAGAACAATGCAAGCTACGGCACTTTGAAAGGGAAGATGTCAATGGCTTTATGAATCATACTGTTGAGTTTGAATTAGCTGTAACTTCTCAGGAAGAAGTTCTTGACAATGATGTTGGTCTAGACAGGCTGCCGGAGTTGCCTGGTACCACAATGACCTGAAAATGTGAATAAGATTTTTAGGGGCTGATTTTCATGTATACCAAGTTCTTTTACACTGTATGAAGATGTGTCTAAAGGAAGCTTTCTGTATGAAGCTATGTATTTCTTGAGCACACAGTGCATTACAGAACACAAATAAAATCCAGGGGCCAAAACTCAAGCTGTAGGTGGATGGGGAAGGGGGAGTGGAAGGGGAGGAGATCTTTGCGAGGATTCCCTCATTTGCATAGATGACTCATAACAACATCCTGTTATTGAGGAGGCTTTTCCTTCCAATTTTAAAAGCAACAAGGTTCAAGCCCAGGCCTCTGGGATCCTCAGATCCACTTACACAGAAAGCCTCTGCCCTGGCCCTTTTACATATATTGTTTCTCCATCCCTCCACCTTCTTTCAGCCCCTCCTCCCCCAAACTTGCCCACACTCTACCTGCTGCCCTAGCTGGGATCCCCAGAATGGCAGAGAGGCTTCTGCAGGGTCTTATGGGGATGGGGAAAGGTCTTATGGAAAATGGCTGACCCTTTCTTCTACATGGGAAGGGGAAGATGTGCCTGAAGAACCTCTGTGTTCCATTATTGTTATTTACTCACTGTATGTATCACAGTAGCTCTCAGTATTGGGGCCACATTGTGGGCAGTGCCTAGGCCTTGTTTCATAGTTGGATGCTCCCTTTTCTATGATACAAGACCAACAAGAGCTAGAAATTTAAAAGGCAATAGAAACTTTATTAAAACTTCTAGTTAACTGATGGAACTGCAATGTGCAAGAGGTCAGACTAGATCGTCATGATGGTCCCCTCTGACGTTAAAGTCTGTGAGACTATAACTCAGTTCACCCAGACATATTTAGTCCCGTAGTCAACTGTTGGGATGCTTCATTTCTGAATTCAGAGGGAAACTGTGAAGGGCTGACAGGTCCTTTCCCAAGTTCCTGGCAGCCTTGCCTTTGGAATAAATCCTTCACATGAAATATACCCTAAATGAGATTTCTAGGATGCACCCACTCCTTTCCAAGATAGGTCTTCCTTAAGTAAAAGCTAACAATCTGTTTAAATAGTATGATGCAGATCACTGACTGTAGCCAGCAGGTAAGGTAAAAGGAAGACAACAAACTCAATGTCTTTCTGCACTTATAGAGCTAAATTCATCCCTGGCTCATCTCCATCATTTGCAATGGAATTATAAGAAGGGTGAATTTGGCTCTTCGTATTCATGCAAGATTTCCAAATAGCCTTTGTTTTTATTTGGGAGGAGCTGTCATTTCTTAGGTGCTGGGATCCTAAAATTTGGGCTGATACTCGTAAGTGGTGCCCTCTTTTTCACTTGCTACCTGCTAGACTTTGGAATTCTATCAGTGTTTTTAGACTGTAAGGCGAGGCGGGACCATTATGATCATTTAGCTGAACCACTGCATAGAACAGGCAACAGAATTCTAATAGTTTCCCCGTTCTAACCTTTAGGGGTTATTTTTGTATAAACACAGAAAGAGAGATAGCTAGAGAGATTTATTTCTGTGGGCCCAGTAAGGTGATCTTTCCATGAATGCTGGGTAACAGCACTGCAACATTCTTACCTCTTCAGCGAAGGGCTTCGTTATGAGGCTAAGTGTATTTTTGTCATATTAACTCAGATTAGCTTCCAAGGCTCAAGTAACACACACATCTCTCAATTTTCCCTTGGTGAAATTGCCAGAGATACATTGCAGTTCTCCTGCTCTGAGCTTGTTTCAGCTCCCTCCATCCCACTATTCCTTCTTTTTTATAATGATATTGTCAACACAGAAATCATGAGCTGCATCTTCCTGGAATGGCTGCAAGGAGGATTGCTCTATGTTTGTCTCTCAAAAGACCTCTCTCCTGTGGTGGATTTCTCTTCTGCCTGAGAAAGCTGACTACTTTTCCTGCCAAACAAATCAATTCCTTGCCCAACACACTGTCATCTTGCCACTATGATCTCTTGGTGAGGTCCTAGCAGCTCTCAGTCTGTGAAGTTCTGTGTGGTATATGCTGTCCTTCCCTTTTTTATTTTGTGTAGCTGCTCTGAAAAGTTTCCAGCATCCCATGAACTTGTGGTTCTTAAATATAATTCCTTTAAGGACATTGCATCAGGCCCAGCCCAGTGAAGGAGTTTCATATACAGTTAATAGACAGCCAGAGACATAGGCTCTAGTCTCTGGGCATGGCTTGCTACTCACTGCTGGCAAGGGCTAGCAGTGTTAGAAAAAGAAGAGTTTGCAGGTGCAGATGGGCCCGATCCAGTCCTTGATCTCGACACTCAAGAACTTTGGGAAAGTCTGGTTCTGTATCAAAACCTGAACTATCCACTAGCTCTGTAGCAGACAGTAGAATAATAATAATAAAAAAAGAATAAAATAATCCTAAATTCAAACACACCAAACTTTAGTAAAATGTGGATCCTGATCATTTATTGGTGTCATAGAATCATCTCTTATTGGGTACATCTACACTTGCACCGTAGTTCGAACTAGGGATGCAAATGTAGGCGACCGAAATTGCAAATGAAGCGGGGATTTAAATATCCCGCGCTTCATTAGCATGATCTCGCCAGCGTGTTACTCCGCTGAACAACTGTTTGAACATGAAAGTGCGCCCTTGGTTCGAATTAACATTACTCCTCATTTTTTGGTAACCCCTTGGGTTTAGTTCGAACTAACACGTCCCAGCGCGTACTTTCATGTTCGAAACAGTTGTTCAGCGGAGTAACACGCTGGCGAGATCATGCTAATGAAGCGCGGGATATTTAAATCCCCGCTTCATTTGCAATTTCGGTCGCCTACATTTGCATCCCTAGTGCAAACTAGGGTGCAAGTATAGACATACCCATTGTGATTTGTATGTATTTTCTTGTATGAAGAATTTACAATGTGAGCCGTAAAATCTCTTTCCACCTGAAATGGTGCTCTTTGATTCCCCTCCAGAAAAACAGTATATTTACATAAGCGGTGTTGTGCTGTTTTTGTTCCATAAATGCACATTTTCCCACGTGTCCTTTCCCCTATTTATTCAGCAAACACCCATGACTTCATATATTTATTGTAAATAAATGGGTGATATTTCTTGAGAACTCTTTTTCTGTGCCTGTCTTTGTTACGTGTTCTGGCAACTCACCCTCATCATGCTTTGTTGGACAGCAGTTCAGCATGTATCCAGAAGGAATTGTCTTAGAATGACATTATTAACACTTGGGCTCCCAGCATGGGTATGGGCTAGAAATAGTATCAGCCCAGCTGCTAGGTTCCAAGGGTTCGTTGGTTTATCTGAGTTTAATGGGGGCCTGTGAGATTCATGATGGCTATTTGGGGAATATTCCTTGGCAGTTGTGGGTGGAAGGCATCTAAAAATAAAATGATGTTGGGAAATCTAACTTTGGAAACTGAGGTTCAAATCCTTATCTCAGTTTGTACCAGTGTAACCCCAGAGTAACTGTAATGTAGTCAGTGGAGTCATTCTGGATTTACTCCAGTGTAACCATGAGCAGGAATTGAGAGAGAGACAGTAATAATCCTTTATTTAATCATACTGCTGCAGGAAGGAAGAGGCAAAGGAAGGCCGAATTCATAGGTCAGTTCAATAAGCTAAGTGACTTCAGAGTAAATATGGCTGACTGGCTACGTAGTCACTCCCTCAGAGAGTATCTGGCCACAGTCTCACAAACTAGTCGTGACTGAGGATACTGCTGTTCCTCTAGCATTCTGCACCTGCCAAGGTGAGACTGGTAGAAGTCATAGCTTTGGAGCATTGTTGGTGATCTCTGCTCAGAAGAGACCCATGACTGAAGTTTAAGGAAGATGCTGCAGGTTAGGATTGAAGTGTATTGGAAGAGCTTTGTGGGGTTTGAGGTTGGAATAGCAGGGAGTATTGTGGGTCAGGAGTGTTGTGGCATTAGCCTGGTTGTATGTATGCATAGTCAGGGTTAGGAAAAAGCTTATACAATGGTAACTCCTTTTGGACCGTCTCCAGTGCTATCCGTTCTAATTTGCATGAGCACCAAAGAACAGTGCCGTGAAGAAGGTAGAGTGATACTGCTGCCCCCTATTGGATGGAATGAAAACTGTTCTTCTGTATGTTATGGCCCTTCTATTGTTGATAGATTCTCCTTTAGGTCAAATGTTTGAGCTTTCGCAGCAGGATCACTTGCATTCTATTCCCACTGCTGCCGTGAAGTTCCATGCATGCAGCTTGGGCTATGAAAAAGTAACAATACAAAAATTAGCAGCAAAAATCTGAAGAGGTTTTTCTTTTCTAAACCTCTGCTTGCAGGTTCTCCAGATCAGATGAACTCTCCCGGCACAGACGCTCCCACTCTGGAGTGAAACCTTACCAGTGTCCTGTCTGCGAGAAGAAATTTGCTCGAAGTGACCACTTATCCAAGCATGTCAAGGTGCATCGGTTCCCTAGAAGCAACCGCTCTGTGCGCTCAGTGAACTGAATGGTCCCACCTACCCCTTGCCACGTGTCCATACCAGAACAGCCGACAACAGCACTTTGCTCACTATATTTCTTGTGATAATTTATTTGTCTCCACAGAACAGTCAGCGCTGTTACTTCACAATACCATGTCTGACTGTTCTGTGTTCTACAAACATGGTTTGAGAACTAAGTTCTTTTGGGGGAGGGTGTGGTGGGTTTTTTATTAATATTATTATTATTATTATTATTTTATTTTCCTTTCCTTCTATCCTTCCTTTTGCTGCTGCTTCTTTTTGGAAATTACAGTGTTTTATTTTTAGCTGCTTTCTGCTGCACAAGGCAAATGTATGGGCTACTTGCTGCTAGTTAATTATAGTCCTAGCATTCCTGAGGGCTTTGCTCATGTACAGGGCCATTCATTGTAAGTTTTTATTAAGCTGGTCTATTTGTCCAGTTTGGAAACAGTAAGTTCCTTTTGAAATGAAAACAGCTCCTTTGTTTTTCAGTCATCTGAGCCAAGGATTCGTGGGGGCGGGCAAAAGGAGAAGGAACAGTTGGGAGACGGGGAGTAAGTGCGATTGGAATTTGTGTCCCTGTTTTCTCCAACACACTGTCCTTGCCATTCATGATTTGGTCAGCAACTCTTGTGCACCCAGAAACTGGATCTGACAATGTCTTTAATACAAAAAATCCAAACGCTCAGGTCATATTAAACGGGCTGGAAGGCCTTTCACCATAGATCAGTGTAAACTGTCTGCATGTCTTCCATGTTATGTGGTCAATGTACTCTATTTTATTGAGTGTGGGGGAGATGCCCAAGAATGATTACCTTGGCTCTGGTTCTTTGTTTTCCAGAATGTCATCTAGTGGTTAGAACAGGGAGACTGGGTATCTGAACCCTAAAATTCTATTCCTGACTCTACTGTCGTCTCATGTTGTGACATATGAGCAAGCACCTTACAGGTTTGGTGCTGTAAGGTGCTGGCCATTTCATGTAAAGTGCTGAGCATCTAACTTCTCTTTACTCAGTGAATGCCTAGCAGGTTTGAGCCCTGAATCTCTTCATAGCTTGGTTTCCTCATCTTTACAGTGAAGTTATTTCCCGCCCAGGAGAGACTGTGAGGCTTACTTAGTAATTGTAAAAGCACTTGAAATCCTTAGCTGATGGTGATCTCTAAGTTCAAAGCATTATTATTTTATTATTAACAGCCAGGTAAGAGCTCCACATAGCTGAGGTGAGTGAATGGGTGGGAACAGTAGTCAAAAGAAACAAATACATAGGGTAGCTACCTAAGTGGCTAAGAAGGGAATTTTAAACAATAATCAGACAGTAGCAGCAATGTTGTTATGTTTTTGTTTCTTGTTTTGTTTTTTCTTTTGAACTAGAAATCTTTAGGACACAATAGAATTCAAAAATCAGAGATGATTAGGTAAAGGATATTGCATTTCCTTTCCACTCACAGATGGCATCTTGTCGTCTTGTCAGCCAAATGGGAAATAAAACACTGCAATTCTTGCATTAGTAGATAGAGATGGAGAACCTACTATATGTAAGAACAATATGTAGAGCTAAAACTACCTTATTTTAGGAGTGCATTCCTTTTGTCCTCTAGAAATTAATATAAATGAACTATCTTTTGTTGACTGGTTTATCTCACATCCTATGAATGTATGTAAATAAAACTGTACATAGATGCATATCTATATAAAATATCTTTTAATAACATATCAAAATTTGTGTAAATTGGAAACAAAATATCTATAAAGCCAGTGTACATAAGTTACAATTCTGTATATTTTCTTTTGTTCTTCATAAAATATATTTACTTTGACAATAAAATGAAAATGGAAATTTTAAATCCCTTTTGAAATTATTTTTTCCCAATCATTGTTGAGAGAAGAAATTAGTTCCTCAAATTTGTTTCACCTGAACATAGCTACTTAGATTTGGGGTGAAAGGGTGAGGCAGCAGTTGGTCCGCTGTTGACTTCAGATGCTTTTGTGATCCTGATAGGCCCTAAGTTGACTGTAGTAGTGTTTCTCTGTTTCATGTGACAGGCATAGGACCAATATTCATCAGGGACCAGAACTCAGAAATTATTGGGGGCCCTGAGTCATATCTGCTGCCTTTTCTATTTTATTTAAGTTTTCATGCCATGCCTGTCAGTCACTGTGGTACCTTGGTGACTTCTGACTGCCATGGAACATGATTGCAGTGCAAATGTGGTTAATGAATGAAAAGCTAACAGGGTTCACAGAGTGAGGTCTAGGGGTTAGCGTGTAGAAAGAGGACAAAGAATCTGAGAGTTCTAGACATGACTGTCAATAGCTCACTGTGTGAACCAGGGAAAAGTACTGAACCACCTATGCCTCAATTTTCTCATCTACAAAATGGGCATAATGATACACTACCAAAAAATTCACAGGGGTTAATTATAAAATGCTAAAATGAAAGGTGCTAAAAAGAGCAAGGGATTATTAGTAATAATAATAGTCAGAAGCCTATATTGTGAAATTAAGCAGCTAGTAGGAAAATCCTGAACCATGTAACACCAATGTAATTGTGAATACACTTTAGTTTGATTTTCTTGTGAAAGCCCTGAATTCAACAGAATGGCACAGAAGGTCTGAAAGCCCTCCATGGGTCTGGAGAGGAGGACACATTCTGTCCTTCTTTCTTCTACTCTTTCACAGATTCAGGGCATAAAATATGCTGCTCTCCAACTCTGCACAGGGGGACACTTATACTGCCTTGAGTCTTTTTGCCATTTGAGGTGGAACTCAATTATGTATTTCCTGTCAGAATTTTCTGCATATATGCAGGAACTGCTGTAATGGGTCAAACCAGCGGTGGATTTGAGGCAGGGTGAATGGGGCGCCATGTCAAAGGGGGGGGGTCCATGAAATTGTGCTGCCCGGGGCCCCGCGGTGCTGCCTGGGGCTCCGTGGTGCTCTCATCCGCCCCGGGCCAAACAAGTCACCCACATAGTCCAGAAACGTATCCCTAGCAATGTTCAGTACCAGACTAGCATGCATTTAAGGACAGTGTCTATTATTTTCCTGACCCACAAGGTACTCCACCAAAACATACTGATATATGATTCAAGACTTTCTATAACTTTGATGATGGCTTTACAGAATTCTTGCATGAGAAACAACATAGCTCAGGAATGTGTCAAACCAGGTTCTGTTCACTATCATGTATTGTTAACTCATGAAATATGGAAAGAGCTTAGTCCTAAAAAGATTAGTCTTAAAAGCACTAGATTGATGATTGCACACAAACTTTGAATAGTAAATATTCATCTTTCCCATTCCCTCCCTTTACAGATGTTATATATTAAACCAGTTACTTTATGTTAACAAATACAACCTCATCCCCATCTAACTCAGAGTTCTGATGTTAATATAATTTTGCAATCTACTCTAAAATGAACTAGAAGCAGAAAATCTTATGCTGCTTCAGCACAAGGTATGTCAAGCGGAACTGGAGCTATTAAGAAAACTACTATTAGAACAGAGCAAAAGTGAACATTGTTTAACCCTAGTGTGGGTCTTGTTGCAACCTGGAATATTTTGTTTCCTATGCAATGGCGATTTTCACATTCTTTAAAAAAATAAGTGTATACATTCAAAAATGTGCCTGACAGCAGGCAAACTGAGAGCTTCCAAAAGAAATTTGAAAAATTTGAATGCTTTGCTAAAAAATAGAGCTGTTTATGGGGTGCTAGTACAGGATAGAGCTCCCAAATCTAGGACTCTCTGGTCCGGCAAGGCCACAGATGTTGCGGGACCAAAGAGCCCCAGAGATGGGAACGGGATCCAGCTGAGAGAACATGGGCTGAGGAGCCCCGTCTGGGCCAAGGAACACCTAGTGTCAGCTGGGCCAGGCAGCTGGGGAATCCTGGCCCCAGCTGGGGAATCCCAGCTGCAGTGGGGCTTCTGGTGGCAGGTGGCTGGGCTGGGGATCCCCCTCCCATGGTAGTAGGGCCGGCGGTGGCCGGGCAGCCCCAGCTGGAAACCCCAGGTTACCTCTGATAGCAGCAGGGCCAGCCCTAGCAGCGATGCAGTGTGACTAGCCAGGCAATCCCGGCCTGGAACCCCCCGGCGGCAGTGGGGCTGGCGGTGGCTGGATGGCCCCAGCCCAGGAATCCTGGTGAACACTGTGTGGCAGTGTAGCCGGCAGCTGCCAGGCTGTCCCGGTCAGGAACTCTGGGAGACCTTGGGGCAGTGTGCAGGCAGCAGGATGGGGAGCCTGTGCCAGGTCAGCATTAGCAGGGCCAACAGCAGGGCAGGGAGCAAGAGGTAGAGGAGCCCAGGAGTGGAGCAACCAACAGTGGAGCACTGACCTCCCCTGGTCTGGCAAATTTGCTGGTTTGGGACAGCTCAGGTCCGGAGGGTGATGGACCAGGTAGGTCCAGTCTATAGTGCCATTGCTGAGTCAAAGTTCATAATGTTTAAAGGGATTTGTCAAGAAAATAATTTTTGGACATGAATGCAGACCATTTATGAAAATTCCTAAAGAAGTTTTTCAATTTTACGTAGATTTAGGCCAGGTCCACCCTACACCCGGAAAATCAGCTTACGGCATAAAATTCCAGCTATGTATAAAACGTACCAGGACTCGACGTACCTTAAGCTGAGCCTCAGTGCCATCCTCACAGCGAGAGGTTGATGGGAGAAATGTTCCCATCAACTTCCCTTACTCCTCACAAGGAGTAAGTGGTCTGGTGTCAACAGGGGTGCCCTCAGCATTCAATTTAGCGGGTCTTTACTAGACCCACTAAATTGAAGTCCGAAAGACCCGCTAAATTGAAGTCCGGAAGATCAACTGTCACAGCGTCAATCTTCTGGAAAGTGAAGATGTGGCATTACTTGCACTCATCTAGCTATCATGGACGTAGGCCCTGATCCAGTAAGCATGTATGCATGTATTTTTAACTTAGGGTATCTGAGCTGATGATAATAGCATCACCGATAGCAGTGATGGGCAGCTTGCAGTCCACGGGCTTCATGCAAATCCATCAAAATAATCTGATTGCGGGCCATGAGACATTTTGTTGTTATTGACCATTTGCAGACACCACTCCCGCAGCTCCCAGCGGCTGTTGTTCTCAGTGGCCCTAGCAGGCCGTTCACCCACAGGCACTGCCCCCGAAGCTCCCATTGTCCTGGAACAGAGAACTGCAATCACTGGGAGCTGCAGGAGGTGGTGCTATGGATAGTCAATGTCAGCAAAATGTCTCATGGCCTGCAATTAGATTACCCTGCTCGGCCACATGTGGCATACAGGTTGCCCACCACTGATGTAAAGGCTCAAATTTAAACATACACTTAAGTTCTTAAGGGTATGTTTACACTACCCTCCTAGTTCGAACTAGGAGGGTAATGTAGGCATACCGCACTTGCAAATGAAGCCCGGGATTTGAATTTCCCGGGCTTCATTTGCATAAACTGGGCGCCGCCATTTTTAAATCCCTGCTCATTCAAACCCCGTGCCGCACGGCTACACGCGGCACGAACTAGGTAGTTCGGACCAGCTGCTCTACCCCAGGGGTAGGCAAGAAAAGCCTGGTCTGATGGGGGGGGGGGGGACTAGGTGGACCCCCGCCCCCCGCAC